GCAAGCTTCAGGTGTTGCCGGGCATAATTGTGGATGTCGTGCAGATGATCCACTAATTCGGCTGCATAATCGGTTGTGGGTTGTTCCTTGTCTGGGGGTACTCCAAACAGCAGGTCGCAGGGTATCCGTAGTTCTCGTCCGAACACTAGACCAGCAGGCTTCAGGCCCGAAGTGTCGTGAGTGGATGCCCTGTAAGCTAGGAGAAAGAGGGGTAACCTCTCATCCCAGTCCCTTTGGTGCGATGAGACAACCTTCCGCAAGTGCTCCTCGATGGTCTTGACGTAGCGTTCCACCATGCCATCCGACTGTGGGTGCAGGGGTGTGGTGCGCGTCTTGCTCACTCCCAGGCGTTGCAAAACTTCTTTCAGTAGATGAGACTCGAAGTTACGGCCTTGGTCACTGTGCAACTCTCGAGGTATGCCGAAGCGGCAGAAGAAATTGGCAACCAGAACTTCCGCTATTGTTGAAGCCTCCTGATTTGGGATGGCGTACACTTCCGGCCACTTGGTGAAGTAGTCCATAGCGATCAGTAAGTATCGGTTTCCTTGGTCGCTTCGTGGGAAGGGCCCTGCGATATCAATGGCTACTCTCTCGAAGGGAGCACCGACATTGTACTGGTGCATTTGCCCACGATTCCTGGTCCGCGGCCCCCGACTGGCTGCACATGTGTCACACTGTCGACACCATTTCTCAACATCGGTCCTTGCTTGGAGCCAGTAGAATCTCTGTCGAACCTTATTCAGAGTTTTGTTGACACCGAAGTGACCTCCTGACGGTCCACCGTGCAGTTCGCTCAGAATGTCCTTCACTCTGCTCCGAGGAATAATTACCTGGGCTACTTGACGTCTTCCGGTGACGGATTCCCAGTCACGCTCTAGTACGCCGTTTCTCACAGCGAGCGATTTCCACTGGGCCCAGTAGCTTTTGTACGTGGGACTCCGATCCGCGATGTCCTGCCATTCCGGTCGTTGGCCGTTCTCTACTTCCTGTAGAATAGGTCCTATGTCCGGGTCTTTTAGCTGTTCCTCTCTTAGGGTAACAGGGTCCCAGCCGGCTGCCGGTAGGGTTCCAATAACGCGTATCTGCTTTACCTCTGCCCGCGTCTCAACTTTGTGGCAGTGCGCACATTGCTCTTGGCAGGGTCGTCTAGAAAGGGCGTCGGCGTTGTTATGTTTTCGGCCCTGACGATGCTCCGAAGTGAAGTTGTACTCCTGTAGACGCTGTATCCAGCGCGCTGTTTGTCCCTCTAAGTTCTTGAAACTCATAAGCCAGGTAAGCGCAGAGTGGTCCGTTCGCAGATGGAACTGTTGTCCGTAGAGGTATTTGTGGAAATGTTCCAGTGTCCTCACTATGGCAAGTAGTTCTCGACGGGTGACACAGTAGTTTCTCTCTGCTTTGTTTAGCGTCTTGCTGAAGTAAGCTATGACACGCTCTTTTCCGTCCTGGATTTGAGAGAGAACTCCTCCAATTCCGACATTACTTGCATCTGTGTCCACAATGAATTTCTCTCCTGGCTGTGGGTAGGCAAGAATAGGGGCAGCACATAGGGCACCCTTTAGCGTTTGAAAAGCGGCCTCCACTTCTGGAGTCCACTGGAAGGTTCGTTTCTCTTCCGTTAGTTTCGTTAGTGGCTTCGCAATGTTGGAAAACCCTGAAATAAATCGCCTGTAATACGCGCATAGTCCCAGAAAGCTTCTAACTTCATGTTTATCCTTCGGGGTCGGCCATTCTCGCACGGCTTTCAACTTCTCCGGGTCGGTGGATACCCCTTCTGGTGATACAATATGCCCGAGGTACCGGACCTCTTCCTGCAGGAGTTTACACTTTTCCGGGTTAAGTTTCAGACGGGCTTCCCGGAACCTCTCGAACACTTTCCGTAAGTTGAGCATGTGCTCTTGGAATGTGCGGCCTATTACGATCACGTCATCCAAATACACAAGGCATGAATCGTACGTGAGCCCTCGTAGGACTGTCTCCATTAGCCGTTCGAAGGTTGCCGGGGCATTGCAGAGGCCAAAGGGCATGACTGTGAACTGCCATAGCCCTTGTCCTGTCGAAAACGCTGTTTTCTCTTTGTCGTCTGGGTGTACGTCGACTTGCCAATAGCCACTCTTTAAATCGAGAGTTGAAAACCATTTGGCTCCGGCCAGCGTGTCCAGGGTGTCGTCAATGCGGGGTAGCGGAAAGCAATCCTTCTTGGTGACGTCGTTCAGCTTTCTGTAGTCCACACAGAAACGGAGCTCCCCATTCTTTTTCCTGACCAGAACGACCGGGGACGACCAAGGGCTGTCCGATTCTTCTATAACACCCTGTCCTCGCATGTTGTCAAGCATTTCCTTCACTTCTGCTTGTTTTGCCAGGGGTACTCTCCTCGGTGGCTGTCGAATTGGTCGGGCTTCTCCCGTGTCTATGCGGTGATAAACTCTGTTTGTTCTTCCATAATCTTCGTTGTCTTGTGCGAAGATATCCGCGTACTCGGACACGAGATCCTCTAACTCTTGAAATTCTCCGGGGCTTAGGTGTGGCTTGGCCGCTGTGGTCACGTCCGCTAATTTCGGTGTTAGACCTGGTGCTGGTGGCCGCCCCACCTCGGGCAAAGCCACGAGTGTTACTGGCTCACAGTGCGCCAGAGGAGATCCTCTCCTGAGCTTTTGGTCCTTTTGGGTAACATTCATGACCCTCACTGGTACTTCTTGACAGTCCTGAACTAGGGTCCTGGCCACGTAAATTCCTTCAGGAGGGTGGGCCTGGGGGCTTGGTTCTACTAAACCGTTCTCTACTCCCAGATGATTCTTCATTTTAGCCATCACTATTCCCTCGCTCCGTGCGGGTATCACATGGTCTTTTGCCACTACTAAGTTAGAAGGACGGGGTCCTGCCCCAGGACTCCATAGCGATACTTCTTCTTCCGCCAGACGAAGAGTTTGGCGCCCTATATCCACTGAAGCATCATAGGCGCGTAGTATGTCCAGTCCCAGGATGAGCTCATCGGTGATATTCGCGACGAAAACCCACATCGTAATAGGTTGGCGCCCTAGGGTAAGGGTCAACAGAACTTCTTTCAGTATGGGCAGGGATCCTCCAGACACGGTCTGTAGCGAGAAATCTGGATTTGGCTGTCTTTCAGGCCATCCGGCGGCGATATCCGGTCTTACCACCGTGACGTATGCTCCAGTATCCACTGTCACCTGGCATGGCTTATCACCAACCCATCCCTGGGTGACCAGACTGGTGTTGGCTTTCTCCGTCATGTCGGTGAGTGCGTAGTATGGGGGCCTTAACGCATATGCCGGCGTTCGCCCATCTCCGCCGGCCGTTGCTCGTTTCCTGACGGTTGGTCCTTTCTCCAGCTGGTTTCCCTGTTGTTTCGAGGTCACCATTCTGATTTCTCCGGCGATTCCCACTTATTTCTTGTAGGTCCTTCTTTTCGGTCCTGGTGCTGTCTATTGTCATCCCCTCGTTGGTTGGGGAACGATCGGAACTTTGTGCTATCTCCGTGAGGTCTGGCCGCTACCAGTACCGCCTGCAGCTCTAGCGCTTGTCGGAGGGCCTCGTTTACCGTCTTTTCCCCTCCCAGCAGCATCTGGAACTTTATATCAGCATCTCGGACTCCGTATGCGAAGGCTTTACCTGCCTCCCTTGCTATGTGGTCAGAAGGTAGATTTGGGTAGGCACGACGGGAAAGGAGTTCAATGGCCGTGGCAAAATCTTGCAAGGATTCTCCAGGTCTCTGCGTCCTCGTTCTTAATTGGCAGTGGTAAGCAGCTGCAAAGTGTTGGTCCCCAAAACGGTCCTCTATAGCCTGAAGAGTCTCCTCGTAAGTTGTACTTGACGGAATGCCGGGTAGTATTTCCGCCGCCCGACCCTTCAGGGCAGTAATTAAGTATGTCGATTT